CACCCTTTCATTTGATCTAATTCTAGCATACCCAAAATGAATACCATGCCTTTACAGAGGACGAGGGAGAGATGCACAGAAAAATTCACAATGCCCAGTCTAAGGATTTTCCATAGGAAATCCTTGGCTACCCAACCCCTGACAGAGCTGGGGTACTGCAGGCCCCTGGCATCAATGCAAAGTCTATGCAGTTCTGTCTTTTTCCTTTCCAGTTGTAATTTAAGCTCTTGTTCCCTAAAGCCCAGAGTAACCTGAGCTTACATATCCTGGGATGACCTATCTAAGGCTAGGAACAGATGTTGCATTTGTCTTGGGACAAGTTGTGCACCTGTATTTGTCCCAGAACAGAAACATCCCGGGATTGACATGTATTGTACATCCCCCTTCCAGCCAGGGTTTAGTGAGCGGCTGAATGCACTGCTGCTTTCCTGCCGTTGATTCAACAGCCATTCAAACACACGTTGCAATGTTCAAAGACAAACTTAGCACTTCTTATCCCATGTACCTTTTACCTTAGGACAACAGTTTTGTAGATGTCTGAATGATTGCACTTTGTCCTGGGTCAAATGCAACATCTGTTTGTAGCCCAACTGGCCGTCTTCTTTGAAGCGGTGGCTGCCTGAAAGACTATTTAAATCTCTGACTAGTGGCCAGACTTTTCCCTTGCTCAACTGGAGTCTGAGATTGATGATCTTTAGTGTTTGATGTAAAATGAATGATTTTGGATTCAGTTTTGTTTAATCCGCTACCCCCTTCCTTCCCTTCTTTGCACTGGATGGTGACTTGCAGCAGGTGATGATCACCAGCATGGATTGGTGGCATGGAGCTGCTTCCCTCCACTGTGAAGTCTGCTGCTCTGCAGCATCTGCACCCTTACTGCAGGGCGGTTGAGTATCTGTGGCCAAGGTGAGTGCAGGCAGCTGGCTGCTGATGGGCAAGGCAGCTGAGAGGCAGAGACTTCCAACCCATAGCCATGGCCAGCAAAAGGCTGCCAACCCCTAATCTAAGTGGTTGGCATCCTTTCTTGTGGCAATATGGGGGACATTACAAAACTCTATTCTGTGTGCAAGTCAAACTATATATCTGCAAAAAAAATTCTTTATTTGCAAGCTTTCAGGGACACACACCCTTCCTCAGGCATAGGAGAATGAAAGATTATAAAATTTCTCCTAGGTGGAAATGAGAATTTGTATTTCATAGGAGAGCTGAAAATGTTATAAGATCTCCTGGTTGGAATAGTTCATACCTACTGTATGCAAACACTGTTTTACAAAAGATATAACAATATCCATGCTTTCATCCATTTCCATTTTGTCTATTTTCTGCCCCAACAAAACAAAGCAAAAAACCTCCCCTTAAATAGTATTTTCAATGTTACTTTCCTTTATCATTGTAAATGACTCATGTCAAATCTTAGTACTGCTAGTTTCATACTTAAATTGGGGAAAAGGGAAAAACTACTTGATTATTGTTAAAGGTTATATTCACATATCTTATGTCAGAGGTTCTCATGCCTTTTCATTTATGTGCATTACATTCTGGTAGCAAAACTGTCTCATGGACTTATTTCACCTTTACCTTAATTTTCACAACAAAACATTTAATAGATAACCAAAGCAATTACTAACATAGAAAATGTATATTCTGGTAGAAATCTATGTATTTATTTACTTGCTGCTTTGAATTGAATTTAGAAGCTAGAAGCAAAAAAGAGAACAAACACTATGGCCAAGACCAGTCAGTTCCGCAGAGCTGTGTCTAAGCCAGAGGTCAGTAATCTCCAGCGTGCACGCTGGATCTGACCCATAAAGAGGTCTGAGCCAGCATGAAGGATTGGTGGCATGGAGCCGCTTCTCTCCACTGTGCAGCCTGCTGCTCTGCAGCATCTGTGCCCTTACTGCAGGGCGGTTGGGTATCTGTGGCCAAGGCGAGTGCAGGCAGCTGGCTGCTGATGGGCAAGGGAGCTGAGGGACAGAGACTTCCAACCCGTAGCCATGGCCAGCAAAAGGCTGCCAACCCCCAATCTAAGTGGTTGGTATCCTTTCTTGTGGCAATATGGGGGACATTACAAAACTCTATTCTGTGTGCAAGTCAAAGTAACAAGTAACCATTCCAGAAACATAATGTTCTAACCAATCTAATACAGAAAATTAATCAAGTTTAGTGTGATGCCGCTTACAATGAAGTGTGAATAGAGAACAAAATCTCTAATAGTAGATATGATTTAATGTAACTGGCCTGTTGTCTTTACTGCCTTTCATAAAAAAGACTAACACTTTTTCTTCTAGAACAGGGCTGTCCAACTGGCAGCCTCAAGCTGTGTGGCCCTGAAGGGTTAGTATGCAGCCCACAAGCTCCCACCTGTCCACCACTTCCCCCTGCTTCCCATTGCTTCTACCCTACTGGCTGGGAGAGGGCTGGAGAGTCCAAGCAGCCCATGAGCCCAGCTGCCCCCACTGCAGGGAGGTGGTGGGAGAGGGAGTGCTGTGTGTACAGAGGGGGGAGCTGGGCTGCCTGTGCTGCACAGTAGGGGAGAGTTGGGTGGAGTGCCTGCCTGCCTGTGTGGCATAAAGACCCCAGGTGTGCAGCCCTCGTAGCATGCAGCCCCCGACTACCCAGAACTCGGAAAGCCCTGTTTTAGAACAGTGGTAGCCAACCTACAGCATGGGTGCCTCAAATGACACATGTGGCCTTTATGTGTGTGGCATGTGGCAGACTGGAGGGAGGACTGGCAACACAGTGGTAGACAGGGTGAGAATCAGAAAGCAAAGCAGCAAGCTGGACAGGGAGCACAGAGAAGGAAGAGGAAGGAACAATAGATCAGGTAGGGACAATAGGGCTGGGAATAGAAAACAGAATAACAACTTGAGGAGAAGGGGATCATAGTGGCACTTGGGGAGGCTGAAGGGCTAATTTGTGACATGTGCCAAAAAGGTGGCCTTGGTGTTTCAGAAGAAGGCATGCAATGTATTTTTCCATCAGAAAAAAGCCATATCCTGAAGGGCTAACTAATGGTATGAAACTGGCAAGAAAAAGCTGCAATGTCCTCACTAGAAAAAGCATAAAGGGAAAAAAACTATTATTAAAATACTCCAGTTTAAATATCTGCATAGAGTTGCATTTATTACCTCTTTTTGATTCACCACTTAGCTATAATCTGACAGTATTATCAGGATCTTCCAGTTTTACAGGCTGGGCTCATAAACACACATTAATGGAACAGTGCTACATATACTCCATGCTGAAGAAATGTGCAGGTTGCAGAAGAATGCTGTACAATGGAAAGAGGTCCATTTTTGGTATGAAATGAAAAGCGGGAAGGAGGAAGAAAGAAAAGTAAGGTAGATCTCATTCCCATGAACCAAAGAGACTGGAACTGAATGTACTTTGTTTCTGACTGATCTCAGGAGCCTAAAGACCACTGCATAGTTCTGAGGACTAAAGGAGATACAAGAAAGAACTTCTAATCTTCAAAGACCCTTCCTTTTCTTCATACAGAATGATATGACATGTTTCTGAGAAGAAATTACACAGATAGCTATGATGAACAGCGTTTTATTTAAGCTGAAATGTTTATTTAACAGAGAAATGTATATCATTCAGATTTACATATACAAACACCCGCTACACAATCTTACCATATGATCCATGTGCTGAGATTTACCACAATGCAATGAGGCTCTGTGCGTGATGTCTGAAAGTGTTTCAGAGAATGCTGGTCTTCTGAGTTTTGACTGCAGCCCTGAAAATGGGAGCATGAAAAAAATATTATATCTCATGTATAAATTTGTTTTTCAAGAAAAGTACAGCTATTTCTTCAAAGCAAAGTTCTTTTGAATTCACTGACTGGCATCTGCATAGGAAAACAGTTTGCACTAAAGATCAAATCCATAACAGGACACAAAGGTTTGACAAAGCTCAGCAGTGTCATGCTAAACTTTTAGGCACCTAGGGAGAAGTAGTTAGCTATATTAGGCTGAAGTCAGATAGAAGGCAGAGTAGCAGCTTAGACTAATGAATTCAGAGAGGCATAAGCTCGTATAAGGAATAGCTTACAGATACTATGATGAAGAAGGAACCTGACAAAGTAAGCTGTCACTTATGAAAACTTATGCCTCGCTAAATTAGTCTGTAACAGTGGTGCTCAAACTTTTTGCCTGGCAGGTCGGAGGGGCAGTGCCCAGTCCATCCATGGGCTTGATCTGACTGGTGGTCCTGATCCAGTGCCTGAGGGGAACACAGAGAGGCCCCATCCTGTGTGCAGGGGGAGCTGGGGGGCAGCCCAGCCCAGATCCAGTCACATGGTGGGAAGAAACATGGCCCAGCTCTGATCCAGTGAGAGGAAGGGAGTATGGCCTGGCTCCTATCTGCCATTCAGGGCTTGGAAATTTGGCAGTGGGTGAGAGTGGTGACATTATTTGCCACTGCTTTCCTGGTGTCAAATTTCCCAATTCCATGAGGCAGATGCTATAACTCCACAAGCTACATTTAACCCGGGGGCTGGAGGTTGATCGTCCCTAGTCTATAAGATGACACTCTGCCTTGCCTTCTTTTAGGCACCTAGTTTCTGGAGTGGAATTCACAAACCCACATTAAGTGTCCACATTTTCTATCAATGCATGGAGACCCAGGTACTACAATGCTTTGGGGAAAAAAATTAAAAACAGCCAACACACCTAGCCTAGTAAGGAGGAAACTCCAAAAAATGGGTTGATCAGAAATCCCACCTGCCATAGACTTGGGGGCCTACCTAAAGCTCTGAACGTGAAACTAGAATGCATGACCTGGAACCCCATTTTAGTCATAGGAACCTAAATTATGTCTTTAAGTATGAACAACTGGATCACACTTTTCTTTCAAAGCATGGCTGCCAACGAGGAGGAGAAGTCCAATCTATGCATTAGAGTGCTTGCCTAGAAAGTTGGAGACCTAGATTCTATGTACTCCTCAGCCTAATCAGATTCAAAGAAAGCGACCAACTTCTAGGAGAGCGCTAGAGATCTGGATGAGATGTTGGCATTTCCCTCAGCATCCTCCTGTTGAAGTTGTGAAACTGGATAGAAGGAATGCAAATACAAATGGGAGAGAAAGACAGCGTGCATGCAAGAGAGCATAAAAGCAAGAGTAAGAGCACGTGCAAGAAGGAGCATGACTCTCTACGCCTGCGGACAGTTCCCTGAAAAGAAAGTCATGGGTTCCGATCCTTGCTTCCAGGTCTGGAGCATCTTGAATCCACCACTGAATAAAACAGTAAACACTGTTAGGAACAAGACCCAGGACATAGTTCTCCCCTGCCACCACAGGCTGCCATCATCACTAGCCTAGAGTCATGCTCCTTCTTGCTGGCTTCTGTTCTGGTCCCATGAAACTTAAATTCTCATTTAGAATTAGGAGGGCTGTAGACTGTCTCCACTCACCCTAATCCATTTCCTAGTGATTAGGGCACTATCCTGAAAGGTGAGAACTGTATGTTTGAACCCGCTCAAGCTAAGGAGGGATTTGAAAGTGGGTCTCCGTCTTCCAGGGAAATGTTCTAGCCATTAAGTTACCACATAAAATTTGGATACTACAACCACTGGCCATATTTTTTAATGAAACAGTTATGGCCGCTGTGTTTTGTGATAAATTCAATGCTGTTATAATGTATTAAACACACTCCAAACACACCTACTTGATCTGCCCCCTTAGTGACTTAGTCCCAGTGATGCCCACTCCATGAATCCCAAACAGATTTTGGTCCAAGGTAGATATCTAGACAGCCTGCTCAGCTAAGTTTTTGGATGCATACAGTAGAATAATTTTAGGTACCCAAGTAACTCTACTGACCAAAATGGAGGCCTACAGACTCTCTGGTGTCTACACAGGTAGATGGGGGTTTGCAAATCTCACTCAGAATTAGGGGCCCATATTCTATATTATTATTATTTAGGTTCACATCCTGCCCTAATCAGAAAGGCTCAAAGTAGCCTATATTCTTTCAATTGCCATATTTACTCAAATACAAGACAAAGTTTTTCCCCACAATCAGCATTGGGGGAAAATGTCCCTGGTCTTACATTCACATAAAAGAAAACCACATTAATGATACTGTCTATCTTTAAACTGCTGCTAAAAGCAGCTTGTGCTCAGCAACAGAAAGCAACCATGAAGTTGATTAAATACAGCTAACACTGACCATGACTATAAACTACAAGCTGATGGGAACCTACCATAAGGGTAAGTTAGTACAACTGATCTGAATAAAATATAGGCTTATGCCCATTAAGTGCAGTTCCCATCAGTGCCAACTCTTGTTCAAGTCATGGTGAGCCGTAACATTGACTACCAACTTCCTCTACTCCCATAGCTGAGCTGTGCCTTTCATTTCCATTGCCAGTTATTCCTGTTTCTTCACCAGCCTTAAATGTCTAGCATATGTCACCAAACAGGGTCCCAAACCATTCACCCAGAATCCATCTGTCATCCCTTCTCTAAGACTGTGGCATATGATTAGTATGGCCTGGCCCTCCATAAGGTGGATCCAGACCAGGTGGCTCTGCACCTCATTTACATATACATTTTTAGAGGATCCCAGGACTCATGACAAGAACACCCAGTTCTAGTCATGAGAGGGGAGCACATGGATCTTTTATGGGGGGTATCTGTAGTATATACACACATACTGAGCAGTGCTGAACTGTGGAGTCACCATGGTTTGAAATGCTGTTGACTATGCTGGGGGCCAGTACAATGAACTATATGGTAAAACATGAGCCTTTTAGCTTTAGACTAATATCATGCTATCATGCACTGTTTGTTCTATATATAATTAGGTAGCAAAGTGCTATTTAAAAGTGTGTTTATGGAATACCTGTGGTAAAATGTGCCAGTTTCAAAAAAGGTCAACTGTATCAATTCTGGATGAACTAAGTATATGGATACTAGATGCAAATTACTACAACTACATTTATTTCCCAATTTGCTCCATGCGTCCATGTGCTCAGGGAGTACTGGATCTCACAGTAAGGAGGTGGAGGAAGGGGCTGCAGGGGGAACAAGTTGATGCGGCAGAGGGCAAATTTATTTTTCCTGCTGTAGCAGTGGGAAAGGACAAATTTGAGACAAACCTCCAATAATGAAATGTTATACCTTGAAAATTACAGTGAATTTATACATTTAACATATACAAAATCTAATTACTGGGGGGTTGGCTTATAATCAGGGTCATCATATATTTGAGTAAATACAGTATTATAATCTTCACTAATACTCAAAACAGAAGGTACGTCCAGAAAGAACTATGATGCTCAAGTAAAAAGTATCAAAATCTTAAAATATAGTTTGTGTTTCTTCATTACACTAGCCAAATATAAGCAAAAAGCATTAGAAGATGATTTTGTGAATATTTTCTAAAAGACTGCCTAAACACACTTCTGAATTGGTACGTTTCAGATGTTGAAACAATTAATTCATTACTGGGAAGCAAATATGCTGATGTATGATGCTTCAATTATCAGGTTAAACAGTTGTGTTGTATCATGTCCAACACAGTTGTAACTCAGACATTAACTTTTCTCCTTTACTTGGACCTGAGTGGAACTCACAGGCATAGAGGTCTGCACTAGCACATCCTGATGCAGAATCAAAGTCTTAATGTATCAAAAGAGACTTATACAATAGATAGGAGAGTGAACCAGCAATCTTTCTGTGCCCTCTTGTCAGCTGAGAAGAGCAAGATTGAAGAAAGAAATAGCTATGGAGTACATGCAGACAAGGGGTAGAATCCTGAGCCTGTTGAAATCAATGGAGTTGTTGCATTAACTTCCCTGGCTCAGGATTTCACCCTGGGCCTAGAATACGCCCTTATCTTCTTTCGGACCAGGATGTGGGTGTTTGTTGTACTTGGCACCAAAACAGTAAGGGAATAGAGTCACTCCCCATTTCTCTTTACATTCTGACATCTTTTTCTTCTTAACTGAAGAAGGATTAATTTTCAACATGATTTGTGAAAAGATTTTCTTGTAAAACTTTCCATAAAATAATTATTTTTGCACATTTTTACTCCAAAAATCTCAAAAACACAACTTTGCCTCTGTCACCTTTCAGTCAAAGTAAGGAAGCATGCTGAGAAAAAACAACATAGGAACATTACATTAATTAAATCTATAACCTAGGGTGAGGGTATATGAACTATGCTTAGTAAAGAGTGTTTTACGTGTATTTTTTCTTCTTAAAGTCAGAAAGAAAACTTTACCTTAAATATCCATAACTGAGAACAGTTATTTAGGGTTTTTATGACCAAATAGTATACTTATAAGAAGAGATGAATGCCTTTTTTTATATATATTTAAACAGTTGAATTGTCTATTGAGCAAAAAGGAAATACCTAATTACAAAGGAACCTGTTACATACTGCACTGTGAGCTGCTCAAATGCTGACTGGTGTTAGCACTAGCTGAAGTATGGAGCAGTTGCACCTTAAGGTTAAAAACCTTCTCTGACTGCCCCCTACATATACAGCTGTGACTTGCCACTAGAAGGCTGGTGGCCAGGGGCCTGATGAATAGTACAGCTGTGAATTGCCACTACAGGACTGGTGAGCCAGGACAGGCTTCTATTCCTTCTCTAGGTGGGGGTGTGTGAGAGATGGGTTGGAGGGGTCAGAAACATGAACTTGGGAGGTGGAGAGTTAATAGAATGGGGTGGGTAATGAAATGGGAGGTGGAAAGGAAATGGGTGTAGAGGAAGGGAGGTAAAATGCAA